GAGCCGCCCCCGGGGCGCCGGGACCTGCCCCAGGGGCGCGCGGGGCACGAGGCACGAGGCGGGAATCGCGGGCCGCTCTCGCCGAGGAGGAGGGCCTTCGCAATCCCTGAGCCGTTGGGCAACAGAGAAGCACGTAGGCCCACCGCAACCGAAGGTGCAGGGACTCCTCACAGCCCCTCCGGTCACCTTCGGCAGACCTGCGCCACGGGAGGACCGAGAATGGCCACCCACGACCTTCCCGGCCCTCCCCTACCCCCTCTTTCTGGCAGGTCGAGATCTGCCACAAGGTCCGGGACCTCGAGTTGTGGCTCCTGGAGCTTAAGAACATTTTTGACTTGTCCCAGACCACTTTTAACCTGGCTCTCACTACCTTCGGCCGCCTCCTGGTTTCATTAAAGGTGGGGAGGCCTGTGAGGATGGTAATGGGGTGGGAGAGGAAACCGACCTCTGCTATCCCAGATGCTCAGAGGCTCGGAAACTAAGGGACTTGCTCGAAACTGTAATGGGAATCTCTTCACATCGCGCTCGCCTGCCTGTCTGGCTCAGTGTGGTGTGGCCTTCCGAGAGGACTTGGTGGGGAGAGGACTTACCGTGAGATAAGGTGTGCTTGTCTGGACGGGCCCAGTGCAGCCTGAGGCCAGGATGGGACTGTGTGTTCCCTGAGATGGTGCTGCATTTCCCATCATTCATTCCCCTAACAAAGGACTATTGACTAGTCCCTTGTGGTTCTGAAATCAGGAGCATATTCACTGGTCAAATCTAAAAATGGCACTAACTTGTGGAGGAATACAATCAATCTCTTTTTGAAAAAAGGAAAAAATGTAATTTCCTAGAGAAACCCACCAGTGCTTTACCATTTGTTTCTGGCATTCGTGTTCTGCTCAAATGTGTTTGTTGCATACTGCAGATAAGAGAAAGAATACTCCAATGTGCCATGATTACTTCCTTGAGACTCGCTGCCAAAGTTAACGAAGAAGAGGAGGTAGGCGTCCGTGGCAGTCGGCTCCGGGCTGCTTTTGAGGTAGAGGAGTGTAACATGGGAGCACTCAGACTTCCTGAAAAGGCTGTGTCCTTAGGAATGTTGGGCATGTTGGAAAATTCATTAACTTCCCAGGATCTCTGCAGTCCCTTCTCTAGCCTTATTGCACCCCAGACACCCACAAATGGGCACTTAGAACAGCTGAATTCTCCTGGTCCAGCAGACCCAGAGGCCTGACCTCCTAGCAGATGGATCTTACCTCCTTGGTTGATGTTCGATGCCGCCTCCCACTGGACAGAAGCCTCTGCTGTTGAGCTTGGAGAAAGGCCTCCCAAACCAGGTGGCCTAACGTCCACCCCTAGAAACTACATCTGAGAAATCTGTTTGAGATTTAAGGACTTGTCTGTGTCAATGAAGCTGGCCCTCAGGGACTCCAGGACCCTTCTCTGAGAGGGGCAGGAGGGTCATGCACTGGGGGTAGAGGAGACGCCCCCTTACAAGTGCTTCAGGCTTGCTTGGACTTTGCAGTTTCACTGTGGTTTCTGTTCAGAAGATTCTCTCTGAATACCCTTCCCAGAACCCCCCTCCTTCCCTCTCTACAACCTGTCCCCCTTTGGGGATAGTGAAGTCTCTGTCATTTCCACAGGGTCCCCCTTGGCTGAGCTCAGAGTCTGAGGGGTCAGAAAAAAAATCGCTTGTGTCCAGTTCCAAACCTTCCATAAAAAATGCTTTTAACCAGGGCGCCTGGGTGGCTCAGTCATTGGGCGTCTGCCTTCGGCTCAGGTCGTGATCCCAGGGTCCTGGGATCGAGCCCCGCATTGGGCTCCCTGCTCGGCGGGGAGCCTGTTCCTCCCTCTCCACTCCCCTGCTTGTGTTCCCTCTCTCGCTGTGTCTCTCTCTGTCAAATAAATAAAATCTTAAAAAAAAAAAATGCTTTTAATCCCTGTTCTTTAGAATATAATCTGTGCTCCCCCAAAGTTGCTTCTGTCCAACTAAAAATCAAATGACCCTTAAAAGAAGCATTTGCGGAAGCTATGGTAATACTTTGTTTACCTAAAAAAGGAGATAGTCTTTGAAGCACCTGTACTTGAACGTGTACCCATAGACAAGCCTTACTAGTCCTTCTGGGAAAAAGTCATCATTTTTCCAGAAATAAACTGCCTTAAATCAAGGTTGAAGGAAATGTGGTTGCAGCCATGGTGTTGCCAAAACCATGGGAGGATTTGTGAATGAGCCTGTCTGGTGTAGACCAGGAAGCCCAAAGGCATACTTTTTCTCTCTGGGACAAGTAATCATGGTAGGGATCAGGAACAGGAACGATAGGAACGAAAACCGTGGGTGAGTTCATGCAGCTGAATAGGGCAGACGGCACAGCCCCACCCTCAAAATCACCTTTGGTATGAGCTGGCGTGTATTTGGGGATCAAGACCTGTTTGCAGTAGATCACTATATTATACACCTGAAATTAATATAACACTGTATGTTAACTCCACTGGAATGAAAATTAAAACCTGCTTGCAGAGGGTGAGCATGTGACACTCACTACATGTTGTCCTAACTACCTGGGGACTTGACATGCTGCCACGATCTGACTTGGTTTTTCTTTCTGAAGCATTTTCTGTGGCAGGTCACCAGAAGACAACTCTACTAGGGTCATGGATTCCCAGTTCCCATGGATAAGAAAACAAGTTACCATTAACATGATACAGGGCTTTGGCCTCTTTATTTTCTTTTTACAGTTAATTCCACGCGTAAAAGACTTCTTAAAGCACTATGGCTCTGGCTATACCCCAAATGAGCTGCTGAGGATGGAGCTGGCTATTTTGGACAGACTGCACTGGGACCTCTATATTGCGACACCGCTGGACTTCTTGACCATAGTAAGTACGAGGGGTTGGCAGAGTCTACCCTAGACTCATTTGTACCTTTGGAACAGCTGTTCACAACGTAGGACGGCCAAGCACAGGCGGGCACACGCCCTTGAGCATGCACCACGGGGAGGTGACCCACAAGGCTCACGACATACGTAAGAGTGAAAATGTATCTTAAATCCAACACAGTTCCACCAGACTCCCACTTCTAAAAGACATTAAATTAACTTTATAAAGATTTTTAAACGGCACTATTGTGGCGAGTTTCTCTTTTAAATACACACTGCAAAAATATTTAGCTTTCCATTCTATGAATACTGTACATAAAAAGCTGTCTGCTTTTGCTACACTTTACACACATTCACTTAGCTGTCTTTATTCACCTACACACAATCCTTATTGAGGCTTTAGACCATATTGATCTGGCACTTAAAAAATGTCGTATTAGTTGGTATTTTTTTAGTTCGGGAATGATGGTCATCCTTAAAGATATGATTCTGTTAGTAAGGCAAAATTATGCAATGTGGAAATGTCATGGGGTTTGGGTCTATTATGAAGCATGAAGATTAAATCACTAAGGGCTGTTTCATTATGGAAACTGGCCACTGTTGCCAAGTTGCAGTTTCTTCTCATGTCAAACAGATACAAGTAACTTTTCTGCTACCTTAATCTTGAAGAGTATGCTTCTGTTTTTCAGCATGGAAACATTGTAATCTAGGTACTTTAAGCTCATAATGACCATGTCAGGAAGCAGATTGTCTTTTCTCTCCAAGGTTGAAGCTCAGCTTGGCCACAGAATGAGTATTAAGCCTCAAGTCCCTTGGGGGGCCATGGATGGGAATGAAAAGGGTGGGGCAACTTTTGATGTTCCCTGATGGCAATTGAAATTGTTTGCACTTTTGGTCATTTATCTATGAAAGGTAGGGGGGTTTGTGTTCTAACATTAAAAACCACGGTCTCTAGTTCCACGCCCTGGTGGTCGTGGGCTGGCCCCACGTGGTGGAGCTGCTGCCTCAGAGGAATCCTTCCCTCCACGTCGCGTCCCTGACCAGGCAGCTGCAGCACTGTATGGCGGGCCACCAGCTGCTGCAGTTCAAGGGCTCCACACTGGCCTTGGTCATCATCACCTTAGAGTTGGAGAGGCTCATGCCCGACTGGTGTACTCCTATATCTGATCTGCTAAAGAAAGCACAGGTAGACATCAACTTGGCCCCAGACCAGGCTCTCCACTTTGCCCCTTTAGCTGACGCACTCTGCCCCCAAAATGGTACGCATCACCCTTGTGGGCTCCAGAAGATGCTCTGGCCACAGTGACTCTGTGAAGAGTCTCCCCTAAGGGCTAGGCTTTGTACACTTGGCATGCCCTCTGGATGAGTATGGGATACATGTTGCCTTTACTGGACCAATTGGTGGGTTTCTCTGACAGTAAGAAGAGCTTTATCTCAGTGGCTGCCCTTGTAGTCAAGAGGATGGGGTGAGGTCAGTGGGACATGCACAGCTCAGGAGGAGACAACCCTGAGCTTAATATGGAAGAGGTTAAATTTCAGACCCCTCACGCTTTATAGGACTCTATGGTACCAGGTACTGGGGTACCATGAGGCAGGTATGGCAGGGTCGGAATCCCTGAGGACGGACAGGGTAAGATGGAATGCATAGTTAGACTAACAACAGCTTTGCTGAGGTTGGAGATGGATGTCCCTGAGATGGTGGGGTTAATGCTCTGAAGTCGAGTGGTTAGACCTTCCTGAAATTGCTCTATGCTAACAATTTAGCACTCAAACTTTGACTTAGGATGTAAAATGGTTCTGCTTCAAGGATGACCACTCTATTTTAATTACAGGTCAGTACTGAGCAGTTGAGCCACTGCAAGGGACTGGTAAAGCAGCATCTGAGAAGTTTGTAGTCCTCCTGCTCAGACAACTTTCTGTCCCACCTCCCGGCCTCTGTGCCCCTATCCCTAGTACCCTTTCGAGCATAATGGCAACCCCTTCTTGCTGGGACTCCTCTGAATTCTAGGCTTTACTGATCCTGTAACAAGGACGGAAAAAGGCACTGGAAAGCAACCGAGAAAAAGTTCCTGGGTCGTTAGAAGGCAATAAAGAGGAAAAAAGGCAGGTCAGGGTCACTGGTGGGAAGGACAGTCTGAAAAATCAAGACCCTGCTTTCCTCTCTCCCATGGGTCTGAGACCAGGGTGAAGGAAAGAATAGTCATACTGTAGCTTGGTTTTCCTTCTGCAGCAAGGGCTGGTATGGGTCCCTCAGGGAGCTGGAGTCAAGCCAGCGGTGGGTCTTGCTCAGGTCCGAAGGGCCGGGCTGGTTCTGACTGACCAGTTCTCGCTGCTCCACTGGCCAGAGCTGGCCAGGTTCTTCCAACTTCCCAGGCTTATACCAAGCACAAACCTAGCACTTCAAGTCCCGGTGACCCTGCCCATCATTGCAAAAATGGGACCATCTCTCCAGGTGCATTTCCCCTGACTTGGTCCTGACTTAGGTCTTCTCTTACAAAAACTGGATCATAAAGTATGCTTTGTTTAATGTACAGCAAGTTGATCAAGCTTAAAACATGTTTTTTCCTTTGTTACTCTTAATCAAAGTAGTCTCTGAGCTTAGAGGAATTTTGTGCTAAAGAATGATCTTAGCAGCCGACCCCCAGTGGGGGCAACACAGCTCTGAGAGCTTTGGGTTGAAATGAGCAGGTTCTGGGGCTGAGCCTGCTCCAGCCACGGTGCTGCTAGAAGGCGCTTACCAGCATGGCTGTGAGGGAGAAGCCCGCTCTCTGACACCGCGACACGGCAGAGCCATTCCCCAGGCAGCCACGTCCGCCAGTTGTGCAGCGGATAGGAATGACTGCAGCACTGTTTACCGGTGCTTGGTGAAGTCTTGCCGCTGTGAGCAGTTTTTGTAAGTGCGCTAAGCCTCGGGGGCGGCTAGTGGGTGCAGAGCAGTCGGAGACCAGATAAACTATACCAGTGTCTGTACAGATCTCTACCTCCTCTCCACACAAATCTGCTCGTTGGAGCTTTTGTAAAAATAAACTTGAATTCCTTTCAACCTTGTCAGAATCTTATTTTCAGTGTATCAGATACCATGGATGTAGACTTGATAGTCCAGTATTCTTGGAATATCCTGTCCTGGGTCCCAGCAACAACTGTCTCCCGTCCAGCACAGAGGGAGAAGCTGAGGGGCAGCACGCTGCTCAGGGCAACTCCCACTGGGGGCCACGACTGCCTTCTGCCTCCTTCCTTGCACTTGGAGTGGGCGCCACAGTGGGCGAAATATGGGCTCACGGTGAGGGCCCACCCAGGGCAGGCTGTCTCTGACTTTGGAGAACTGCAAAGTCTCTTAATCAGGTAGCTCTGGGTGTAAACTGGGTCCTCAGAGCTAATCTCTCAATCAGAGCAAACGAGTAAAAGGAGAAGGCAGACCTGTGAGCCCTGTACTGGGATAAGGTACAGCCCTGTTGTTCCATCTTTCAGTAAACCATATTCCTCTTCTTCGGGAAAGCAAACTTGTGCATTGCCAAAGTACCACTTGTGAGTTTAAGAAAAGTTGTTATGCTGTTCAAGTGTGCCTTGGGATTCCAGGTCCCGTCCTACTCTCCTTTTTTCCTTCAGGAACTCCTTTCCCACCTCAGATCAGAGATCGGGGATCACTGTGGTGGGAGAAATATGGACACAATCTGTCTTGCTCTTGTCCCCATCTCCAGAAGGGCAGGGGCTGGTGAAGGACTGTGGCTGCAGAAAATGGAGATGTGTGGAGACTCGGGCAGATGGGCTGAGAGCAGGATAGGTGAGTAGCATGGGCCTTTTTACTTCTTATCCAAATACTACTTCCCCCAAATGGGTGAGCTGAGTTGTACAGTGCTGTTCCCTCCACCAATGAGGCCCTTCTCTCCTCTGGTTTCCTGGAGAGTCTCTGTCCTTCAGAGCTCGAGGAAGACTTTGCTTCCCTGGTACCTGCCTCCCTGCAGGCAGAGCTGAGCGGTACTTTCATGAGAGAAGTCTGCAACACAAGGCTCCCTGCTGGGCTGTCAGCTCCCTGATCTTAGTCTCCCTCTCCTCATTTTGGTCTTCCCAGAGATTAATCTAGTACCCAACAGAGAAAGCGCCTCAACAAGTGGATCCACGAGCTTGTCATCACTTCCCTCAACCGCCCGTCTGCCCTTCTTCCACCAAATATTCACCCAACAGGGCATCCCATCTCTACCAAACCATCTCAGGTCCACCAACCCACACTGCCAGACTGCACACTTGAATTTGGGCTACATTTTCACTGTTCTTCTGTGATCCCATTGGGTTGCCACGGAGGAGCTATAGCTCAGGAGTTAAGGACACAGACTACCAACATGCAAATCCCAATTCCCCTAGTTACTAGCTGTGTGACCTTGGGTAGTGACTTTACCTCTCTGTGCCTTACCTACAAAATGGGGAAAACAGTACCTAATCATAGGATTATTATGAGGATGAGAGGAATTAATGCACATAATGCAACTTAGAGCAATGGCTGATATACCACAAGAACTCAAGTATTAGATGTCCCATGTCAAGCCTACTCCACAAGGATGTAAACTCTTCAAAGGCAGTGTTTACCCTCTCCTGGTCCCGCACCCAGTCCCCCACTGAAGATGCCTGGACCATAGGCTGTGACTTCTCTTCCCTAACTTTTTCCTCCATCCCACACCCCTTCCAGAGCCTTTCACAGATGCCCAGAGCAGAAGTCGCTGTTAAAACATAACTCCTATAGAAGCTGGTCAACCCCACAAAGTTCACAGAAAAGACAAGCTGTATTTTACCAGAGTTGTAGCAGATTAATAGGCTAGGAAACGGGTTAAATCAGAAAAGCTACTGCCCAAAAAAGACACCACAAAAACTCAAAATAAATGCAAAATTTAATGGGGAAAAAAAAGAGTACAAAGTGAATGGAAAAGAACAAAAACAGTCAATGTATGAAGGAATAAATGAATTAACAAGTGAAGCAGTTTTAGAAAAGCTTGTTAACATAACAGAGGAGCAAGCCACACTTCCCTCGGGCCTCTTATCCAGTAATACGAGCCCCACTTAACAAGCACCCACACAGAGACACACAGAAACATAAATTCAGTCAGTCTGTACAGTTACAAACCACCTAGACTCAGGTTACCCATCACCAGGGTGACCATACATCCCGGTCTGCCTGAGATCATTCCAGCTTACACCTGTTGATCTGGCACAATTACTAACAGGACCTCCTTTTACTCTGAAAAGTCTCAGTTTGGACAATAAATTACATGATTCTACCCAAAATCAACTTGGCTTGTGAAAGACATGCCAGAAATGCCCTGCGTAGCCCCGCTGACAGCCCTGATAATGCCAAAAGGTGATTCTGCAAAGGAGTGGCACATCAGACACCGCAGGTAGGCCTCCCGTCCCGGGCGGGGGAGCTTGTTCAATAATGGCCCGGTTTAAGCTCACCTCGTGCACCCAGGACTAATTTGGTCTCAGCTAACGATGATAAACTTCCAAACACAAGCAGCACAGACAGAGAAGTGCAGTGAGGCTCACTAAAGCCAACGGGACCTGCGGAAGCAGCTCAGACCCCAGAAAATGTAACAGTGCCGGCTCTCCCCAGAGATGCTGGGAAGCGTTGCACCCACAGGCAGGTAACCAGCCACAAGTCTGGCGTTCCAGTATGCCTGGGGTGCAGCCCACAGGCTGTGGTGGGTGGATGGCAGAATATATCCACTCCAGAGTCCCCAGATTGGCCCATGAACCAGAGTCTCCATTTCTTAAATAACCAGTGAATCCGCGGGGTTGCTCTGCCTCATCTTCAGAAATATGTCAGCTCACGGAGGCTATCTTAAAGGTCACACTTCAACCCAACTGAAGACACTCTCAGGCATATAATCCCCCTAAAGCCAAGTCACTTGAGGCCCACGTGGGCCTTAGGTATATGCCCATTTGCCTTTTGAATGCCCACACTGAAGCCCCTCACAATCTGGATCCACCCCTGGTCACGGCAGGACACTTGGCAGAGTTTCACTCTGGGCATCCTCCCCACTCTGAATGGAGCCCCATCGCGGAAGCACAGCATGAAGCCAGGACTTGGTCCTGGAAATCAGTAAAGCCAAGGGGCCAAGGCAGAAAGGGAGAAACAGTGATGGGAAGGAGGATGGAGGACAAGGAAAAACAAACGACCAATGCAACAATAAATTAGTGCAGCTTCCCAAGGCTTCTGACGAGGGAGTGCTCTAGACCGTGAGCTCCTTGAGGGTAGGGCTGCGCGTTATTCCGGGGAGTCTGTGCCCAGCACAGTGCCCCATCAACATTAAATGAGCTCCTTCCTTTGAGCTACTCATTTTTCATCTCCTATTGTATCACGCCATATCCTCAGCCCTGACACTCCCACTGGCTCGCAAACCCACAGGAATGGAGAAGAATCAGTGCCACTAGTTCTTTCTTAAAATGATCCCCTGAAGAACGCAGTGGAGAGGGGAAGGCTCCCTCGCTGGTAGCGTTTTCTGAAACTGTCCACACGCATCAGACACCTTCATCTCTTTTCCTTGTGACTCAGCCAGGAAAACAGAAAACAGTGACCTTGAGATAAAAAAACCTTTTCCCGGCTGAGTCCTCTGCATTTGGGAATATGCAGGCTTGGTTTGGGGGTCTTAGTTGGAATCAGACACTCAACACACACGTGGAGTCGGTCCCTGTTTATAGGCAGCACCTCTGGAGCCCACAGACAACGGCTTTGGGCTACTTTCCATCTACATTCGCATTAAAAACACTGGACGTGGTCCTTGTTCATGACCCACTTTCATCCGTAAAGAAATTCCGAACACTGTCCTCACAGGATGTTTATTGCCCACCTCTCCCTAAATATTATAGGGATGCTTGATACATAAGAAAAATTTAGAGATATTTTTAGTTCTTAAAAATCAGGGAATCTGGGTTACTTATGAAAATAACGGGAGAGGGTATTATCTGTCTTCACGCTTGTGCCAAAATAAAAATTTAGAAGTCTCCTAAAAGTTATTATTGAAATTAAGCTCTAGGTTAGAAAAATTAAAATGAACGGGAATCGGGTGAATTTTGCAGCATGTATACCAGACCACGCGGCCGCACCTAGGGCACCGCGTGAGTTGCCATCTTGACGCTGAACAATCAGGCCAAGCATCGCCGGCTGGGGCCTTCGCGAGAGGCACATAAGTGCTCCGTCAAGGAATAGTGACACTGTAAATGGAAGACCAGCCACTGGCTCTGAAAAAAATAAACCTTGTCAGTTTTGGATTCCAGCATTCATGGCTTTGACGTGTTTGCATAGAGAAGGGTGGCCCGCCAGGCCCAGGGCAGCCTGGGGGTGGGGGCGGGGGACAAAGCAAGGCTGTAAACACTGGAGTCTGTACCGGCTCCCAGTCCGTCCTCACACCATGTTATGGGAGAAGAAGGGTCACAAGGTGTAACTCAAGCAACTTAACACATGAAAGTCTAAAGTCCGCTCTTGACATGTAAGTCTGTGCGTGCGTTAACTGAAAAATAAAAATAAAACAAACAAAACAAAAACAGACACATTAAAAGATACGCAGACGACCAAATCAAACAGAAACAAAAGACAGCGAGTTGGATGCTGGGAAAGGGCAGTCAGTTTGGCATTTGTGACGAGCAAAGCAGAGAATTCGCTTCAGTTTGTGGCATCCCAGGCTGAGGGTCAAGATCTGATTGGGAAGTAATTTTGCAAAAATGGATTAAAATTTGAAGACCAAGTATAACCCATCAAAGCAATTCAACTAAACGGTCATGAAAAACACTCCCCCCCCCCCACCTCGAATGCACTCCACACTGACCCCCTTCCCAGGACGGGAGGAAGGAGCGCTCCCAGCCACCTTGCCTAGCCCACTCCTGGCGCCCCCTCCAAGGCCAGCACGGGAGCATAGGGTCTCTCCTGGTGGCCAAACTGACTGAAGCTTTCTGGCATGTCCAGCAAGCTGAGAACACCTGTCTCCCAGACCCGGGCCACATGGGAAAAGCAGGGAGCCCTGACACCGGGGACGGACTCCCACCCTGAGGCCTGTGCCCGGGCAGCCAGCCAGCCTGCTCTCCACCCCCCGGCCCTGACCTGGCCACCGGTCCTCGTCTTCCGCTTCTGAGGGGTTTTCCATAACTTACTTCCTAACGGACTCTCCTTTTCTGAAACCAGATGGCCTGGGCACCATAGGCAAGGAGCAGGGCAAAGTCTTGTTAGGTGCCAGCACCTGGGACACAGACCCACACATCCCTTTCCAGGAGAAACCAGATTTCTGAGCCACTCGCTTAAAACCCACATGGGTTCCAATTTACAGAGTCCCCAGGCTCACCAAGCCAAGAGCTGGACGTGGGGCCGGGGCTGGAAACAAAGGCAAAGCAGAGAGCAAATTCACATGGCGGGGGGTGGATTTGGGGCTAGCGTCTTCCCTGGGGACAGGCAGGGGATCATCTCTGCCAGCAGTGCCAGCAGATGGGGGGGGTCACCAGTGAGCAGGATGAAGGAGGCTATAGAAAGGAGGAGGGTCTGTCCCAAAGCAGAGGGCAGGCCTTAGGCATAAGAACTAGCATTCAATTCCTAAATGCCTGGCTTTGTCCCCCTGGTCTCCCCCAGGGAGCAGCTCATGAAGCTTCTTTTCCGTACATGTGTCTACGCTGCTGTGCTTATGCGTCTTGGGGGCTGTGTGTGCTGGTAGATATGTGCCTGAGTCTCTGCATGTGACGGGGCTGGAGTGACAGTAAGACAGACCATGTCTGTGTAGGTGAGCGGGGGGGCGCTTGTCGGGGAACGCAGTATTGGGGGTGGGGAGGGTGCTGACGCACAAGGAGCATCACAGAGCCGACAGCTTCCTGTGCCCTGGATGGCCTTAACCACAGGGCAAGGAAAGGAGGACCCGGACACACACATTCCCAAACATTCCAGGAAGAAATGGGAGTCCAAGGAGCCCAAGGATGAGGGCAAAAATGGAATCACCCGCCTAGTTCCTCAGCTGACAAGAGAAAGAGGGTACCTGACACAGGCCAGGGGCAGGGGAAGCAGGGATGGACGAGATCCCACAGTGGGATGTGGTACGGGACACTGAATGAAGTGAGCTGGAGGAGGGAGAGCCCCAGGAGCCAGGGCATCTGGACTCCAGCTGAGAGTGTGGAAAGAGCCTCTGAAAAAAGCCAAGGAGAAATGATTCAGAGTTGCCCCCACCTGGCCAAGAAGCTGACTGCACGCCTGGAGGCTGGGAAAAGCCTCCTTGCCCTCCCCAGTCCTCTCTCCTCCAACTCTAACTTGAAGGGCAGCCCGTCTATGGGGCAGAACCCCCAGAGCCCCCTACGGGGAGTTGCTGTCCTTCCTTCCACCAGGCAGTGAGCCTACTGCCCAAGGGGTCAGTGCTGCCTGGGCTCAAGCGTCTGCTCCCTCCATCACCACCTGCCAGCCAATGCGGGTCCCCCATCCGCTGTCTCAGATACTGAGAGGGATGCACCACAGCTGCCCAAGCAGAAACCACAGGAGCTTTTGGAATCTGGAAATGCTCACATTCCCAGGACCTGCCCCTCTCTGGGCCTGAAAGACCTTCTCTGAGACCTCTACACCCTCTCAGGGCCCACACCCGGCCTATATATATGGCCCAGTCTTCACCACCCCAGCTCTGAAGGGGCTGCAGGAGGGGGGAGAGAGAGAGGGGGAGAGAGAGAAGAGAGAGAGAAGAGGGAAAGGTGGGGGGGTAGCAAGGGGTCACTTGTGCAAGACAGAGAGTGCACAAATACCTTGTATCCTGAGATATCAAGCTCACCAGTGAGAGGGAAAGAAAGGTGGGCAAGAATGAGGTGGGAACGAGAGCAAAACGGTGAACAGGTGCGCATGGGCGAGAACCAAAGTAAACTGAGTGGCGCCCAGAGGGAAAAAGAGCCAGTGTGGACAGGGGGCCCACCACCTACTTCTTCTTGTCCTTGTCCTTCCTCAGAGGCTGCTGCGAGGTGGCATGCAAGGCCTGGGACTGCAGGGCCTCCACCGCGGCCTTCCTGCGGTTGAAGGCATTGGTCTCCTCCTCCAGCTCCCGGCGCTTCTCCTCCACCTTGCGCTTCTCCTCCTGATGGACCCGCTTGAGGTGCTCAAACTTCTCGTGGAGCTGGGAGCAGAAGTGGGGGAGCTCTGGCTTCGTGGGGACCCCGCCAGGCCCCGGCCTCCCTCGCCTGGCCTCACCACAAACCCGAGCCCGCACACACCTCTCTCTCCTTCTCCTTCAGCTCCAGCTCTGTCTCCTTCACTTTGTTGACAAACATCTGCCTCATCTCTTCCTCCTTCCTCTGCAGCTCACTCAGGAACTCCTTGCGCTTGGCCTCGTAGGTCTCCTGCAAGCTGTGGAGGCCGAGACAGAAGAGGCCAAGGGTAGGGCGGCGGCGGGCCAGGGTGGGGCAGAGCCAGAGAAGGGGGATGGCGATGCTGGGGCCCCCACGGCCTCTCGCCCGGGCTCACGAGCCCCCAGGCACAGATGCCAGCGTGGCTGTGGAGACAGGTGGTCACCTGAAGGGCTGGCTGTCGCCGTCGCTGTCCTGGAAGCCCATCTCCTCCAGCTTGCAGCGCCGGTACAGCTCGTAATGCCGGCTGTGGGTCTGCTCCCGGAGGTCCTCCATGTTCACCCGGATCAGCATCTCCCGCAGCTTCACGAAGTCGCAGTGGTTCTCGTTCTCCACTGAAAGCGCAGGGCACGTGGGTCATCAGGCGGGCACGCAGACGGGCACCGGGAGGAGAGGACACAGGACAGCGGTCAAAGTGTTACGGGCAGACTCCGGAGGCGGGACGGGCAAGGGACGGTCCCAGGGAGGACACGGGACAGAGGCTGCGGGCAGCCAGGAAGGACAGGATGCTCCATCTGGGCCCCCGACTGCGGACACGCTCTCCCCACCGCACTTACCCTGCACCACGCCCCAAGGGTACTGCCGTGCCCGGACCAGCTTGTTCCCCACCTTCACCTCCTCAGTGCTGCCCACCACAGCGAAGGGCAAATGTGCCTAGAAAGGAGCCCAAGGATGGCTGAGCACGGGGCCGACAGACCAGTGGACAGACCCTGTCCTGGGCCCCAGGGAGGGGTGGCCAGACCTGAACAAGGCCTGACCAGGGCTCACTTCCTGGCTCTCTTTTGGAGAAGTATCCTAGAGCCTCCAAACAGGGGAGCAGGCTGAACTGCACCCCGTCTTCCTCATGTTCGAGGGTTCCTTTCAGCCCTTGGGCTCCCCAGGGGCCAGTAGAGGCTCCCTCACAGGACTTGCAAGCCTGGCTTTCTTCCAAGTTCCCAAGCCCTGGCATCTGGCCTGCTTACTCCTCCAGGTTTCAGTTCCTGCCCAGAATCCTTATCTTGTGAAACTTAAACTCAGGGAAGGCCCAGCACCAGCCCAATACCCGATTCCTCCCAGCTCCTGGCCATAGGACATAGGGCCGGCTGGCTCCCAGATGCCCACCCGTCTTTCCTGGAGAAGCTAAGGCTGGGATCCTGGGAAACCAGAGTCTCTGGAGCTATGTGTCACAGATCTGTGCTGGCTCCAAGCCCTCTGGCCCCAAGGCCAGTGCCCCATGCTCACATTCATGACTGCGTTAATCTCGGCAACAGCCTCGTCATCAGTGGGAAACTGGTAGATCTGAACCCCATTGCTGACCAGCTCGCCCATGATCTTGATCTTGAACTTGTGGAGCTCACTCTTGGAGATGGTGTCAGCCTTGGCAATGATGGGAATGATGTTCACCTGCCAAGATCAGGGGAGTGGGCAGCAGGTTAGTTCTCTCTGACTATGGACAGCCCTGCCCAGGCCACATCCCTGGGCAGACGGGCAGGAGGCCAGAGAGATGGAACTGCTTCCATGGGCAGTCCCGGCTTGAACCCAGCCACTGGGGCCTTTCTAATGGGTGGTGCTTCTTATAGCCCTGGTTCCCCCAAACCACATTCAGCCCCAAAGTTAGTCCTCTGGGCAAACCCAGCTTTGACCTGAAAATAAGAATCAATTCAGGGGCGCCTGGGTGGCTCAGATGGTTAAGTGTCTGCCTTCGGCTCAGGTCGTGATCCCAGGGTCCTGGGATCGAGTCCCGCATCCAGCTCTCTGCTCCTTGGGAGGCTGCTTCTCCCTCTGCCTCTCTCTCTCTGTCTCTCATGAATAAATAAATAAAAAAAAATCTTTAAAAAAAAAAAAGAATCAATTCAGCTAAAAGGAAGGGGCTCAGGACCAGACCCATGAGACAGAGCTCTAGAGAAAGTGCCCAGAGTGAGGGGAACCCACTGGAGCAGGAGGGACAAATGCAAGAGAAGACAGAGAGAGGACCAACCCACGGGCCCATCTGCAGGGCCCAAAGCGGCAGAGCCCCTGTCAGGGACCACAGTGGGCAGTCACACCACAGCCCCCAACTCAGGGGAGGACCATGAAGCCCAGGGAACAAGTCTGGGGGGTGCACACCTTGCTGTCTAGCTTCTTCATGGTCACCAGATCCAGGGACTTGAGGGAGTGCCCCGTGGGCGTGATAAAATACAGGCAGACGTGGATCCTCGTGTCATGGTAGTCAAAGAGGGAACGGCGGATCTTCAGTTCCTCCTGCAGGTAGTTTTCAAACTGCGCGTCGATGTAGTCGACTATGGGCCTGTAACTACAGACAGCTCCATCACCCAGGAGGCGGGCACTGAGCCGCAGGGCGTGGGGCTGCCCACCAGCCTTCCCTCTGTGGGGACAAGCGGCTTCTGCCTGGGGGGGGTCCCTGTCTGGGGACAGGTGGCCGACCCTGTCTCCTAACCTCCAAAGAGGTCCTCAGGAGGTATTCCCTGAGAGGCCTTCCTCTGGCCCCTGTGAGGTATGAGGCCGGCTGATTCGTATGGGGGCAGCTTGGAATGAAGAGTGTCAGGGCAGGGTGAACCAAGGCCGCCACGGGGGAAGGGAGGGAGGGAAGTGGGATGAGACTAGGCGGGCCACCCTTCCCGCCTCTTGCCTCTCATCCTTATTGATCTGATCCCCGAAGCCCACAGCATCCACAATGGTCAGCTTGAGGTGCACATTGCTCTCTTGGAGGTCATAGGTCTGGGGCCGCAGGCGCACACACTCCTCATGGTGACTGGCTTCCTCGGTCTCGAAGGTCGTGTTGAAGAGCGTGTTCATCAGTGTGGACTTGCCAATGCCAGTCTCCCCTGGGAGCAAGGAGCGGAGGAGAGAGGATGTCAAAGGCTGGAGCCGGGGCTGTCCCTGGCTGCTGGCTAGGATGGGTGGGGCTCAGGCACCCTCAGCCTCCACACAAGAGAGACGGGCAGGCCTTTAACTCCATCCCTCGCTGTTCCCCTCCCCAGAAACCATCCTTCTCGGTGGCCTCAAAAATAATGTGTGGAAGCAAGGGCCAGAAGGCTGACTTGGACATAAGCCATGGCTATGTGGGCAGTTATGAGATCCACTGGACAGTAGCCTCTGCTGGCCTCAGTGGGACCCAGTCACCTGCTCTGCACACCATCCTTCCTGGGCCCAGGCTGGTCATGGGCCCAGCAGGGCCAGGGTGTGAAGCCACCAGTGGCCTCTTGATCCATCTAGCTTTATCTGGCTCGGGATAGGCTGCTCCCTGAGGCGCACCCACAGCCCAGCAGATGCCAGGGCGTAGACACCTGGAGCGGGTGGTCTGACAGAGCTCTTTGTGCCCTCTGGGAGCATTGAGGCACATGGAACCTCCCAGAGTCTCCCTGTTTGGGGCTCTATTTGTTCAGATGTGTGCTGGAGCTCACATGATACTATAATAGAAGGGGAGTCTTGTTTACCATAGTGTCCTTGACACACAGTAGGAACAACAGTAAATGTTTTTAACACAAACACACAAATCTAAAAACCTCTGTGATAAACACTCTCAGTTTACAAAGCATGTTCACAGGTCTAATTTTGTTCACTCTTCAAGGCCCCTGGAGTCAGGCCCCCCCAGCTCCGTCCTTAACCCTGGCAAAGACACCAGTCAAAGCGTCGCCCTGACCCCCCCAAAGAGTCTGCCTGGGGTCCCTGGTAGCTCAACAGGTGGACAGGGCAGCAGCACCCCATCTCCTGGATGGCTCCTGTCCCCCACCCCACCCCACCCCCGGTCTGAGACCACCCCCAGCCAGACCATGACACATACCCACACAGAGGATGTTAAAGCTGAAGCCCTGTGTGACCGACTTGCTGACCAGCTGGTCCGGGAGGCTGTCGAAGCCCACGTGGCCCCCAAGGGAGAGGCTCCGAGGCTCTGGCTCTGCATTCTGCCAAGAGAGAAACGGAGGAAGCAGTGAGCCCACTGGGGAAGGGGGGCCACATGGGGAGAGGCCAAACCCCAATGTCCCGCCCCCCTTCCCTTGTCTGAATTCTCAGCAAATCTCAGGACACAGTGTGAGCGCACCAGAGCTCCAACTCCAGGAGGAGCTTCTAGAGAGGAAGCCCGGGGCATGTCAGGGTGCCTGATTCCATCCCAGAAAAGGGCTATCACCCATGCCTCTTCTCTACTGGGGCATCTCCTGGCACGGATGGCCCAGGAAACCATCTATCCTAGTTGCTACCCCTGAGGGCTCACCTGTCCTCCTGCCCAAGAGGGGGCCCCAGACGGTCCCCAGATCTTAAAGATTTCAAGAGGCCAAGATTGGATAGCGTGTATGTTCTGGCAACTCCCTCCCAGACCTCACAGACACTCCTACTGAAGCAGGGCTCAAGCAGAGACAGGTCTGGCCTGACCCCTTCACACTAGTTCTCCATCAGAGGGCCTCCCCGCCACCAATGGGCCGGGCTCACAGTTCTCCACATGCGCCCCTTGCTCCCCATGCACCCAAGCATAGAGAGCACAAATGGGCCCTGCTCATGGGGCCGGTGCTCCCTCGCACCCGCCACTGGGTCTCAGGGCTAGTCTCTGAGGCACTGTGACTGAGGCCTCATCCCTCCTGCCTCCGTGGTGCTGTCTAGGGACTCCCAGGCTCTGGCTCATGCCACCTTCCCACACCCACTCCAGCCTGGTCATTTAGACAGAGGATTCTGGATGAGAACGTGGAGGCCTGGCCTCAGGAGAGAGGCAGGCAGCAGGTCCCGAGTGAGCTGGGGCCACTGGAGCTGATCCACAGCACTATAAAAAGAAACCACCAGGACCCGAAGCAGAGGGTCAAAGTCAGACTCCAATCTGTGCGGATGATTTCTCCGCTTCCCTGGGAATGGGGATAAAATGCTGTCCTCCCAAGGGAAGGTTCCCAGGCTCAGCCTTTCCAGCTTCGGCCCTCGTGAGGGCAGGCCTCTGACAGCTTCATGTTGGGCAGAAACACATCTGCTCTATTCTTGAGCCCCTCGGCCCTGGCTGCCCACTAGAAAGAGCAAGGCCAGGGAAGGGCAAAGGTGTGAGCCCCATCCTGCCGTCCTGTCCACAGCTCCAGAGGGGGAGGAAACAGGCCCAAATGAAGGCAGCCCTGGGAGCTACTGATCAGTAGGATGGTGGCAGTTCTCACGCCAATGTGGATACCGGTGGGCCGGGCCCTGGCTGCCTGCCCTCCTGCAGAGGGATCTGCTCAGCACCTCAGTCTTCCCTAACTCCTTAGTAGCCACAGCCTGTTGGCTCAGCCTGAACCCCTCTAACCATTCTCTCCTCCCAACCACAGCCCCCTGGCACATACACTCAACCTTCCCTTCTTGACCAATGATGCCCATCCCTCTCCCCGCACCCCCCACCCTGGCTCAGTCACTGCAGACCTCAACTGATGATAGCCAGGTGTGTGTGTTGGTAGCCTAGACTCCACGTGGACCCTCTGGGCACTGGTACCATCTCCTCAAACAAGTCAGGGTTACCCCTACACCTGCTCTCTGATGACCCTCTCACCACAGAGCCTCTGTTCTTACAGCTGACCCTCTCTCCATCTCCTCTATCCCCAGGGGATCATGTTACAACCTCCCCACTCAAGCCCAGGACTGCAAACATGACCCAACAGAGAGGCCCTAAAGGCAGCTTCCTCTCACTGGTGCCCACATTAGAAACAGTACAGACAGCATAGGATGTCCTGGGTCAGGTCCAAACCCCCAGCATGGCATTCTGGGCCCTTGATGGTCTGAGGCCTTCCTCAAAGACCCAGCCAGTTTAACTCTGAATTCATTCTTCCAACCGGTCCCTTTTTCCAGACTCCACAGCTCACTCCCCCTTTTCCCTGGCACCTGCTTCGACCTGGCCCTACATACTTACATTCCACACCCCTCCCTTGGCTGTGACCCCATTTCTTTGCACTATGCGTTGTCCTTTTTTTATGCATCCCGGTTTTCCAACTCTTTGTAAGTTCCTCGAGGCTGCTGCAGGCTGGGGGAGGTCGGGCTTTCTGCTCTTCCCACCCTCCCACCAGTATGCCCAACAAGCCACACAACGCCGCCATTTATAAGCCACTGAACACTGCCTTCAATCGCTACGGCATCGGGGGCATCTGCCCACCTCACACAGAGCTGCATTATGTAGTCTCGGTTCCACCTGCTCATCGAAGCCTAAGGATCAAATGGAGGACAGAACGGTTAGTCTAGAGCGTTTTTTTTTTTTTTTCAGGCGAGACTGAAAATCTCCAAAATTTAAGGCGTGCTGTGCTTGCAGAGCAGGCTCTGTGTTTATTCATCATCTTCTTCCAAGGGTGACACAATCAGGATGCAATCCAACATCCTGTAGCCTGCCGCCAAAACCCACCCAGTCAGCTGCGTCTGGAAACCACGCGCGCGCACTCAGCTGCAGAGTGCTTGCCCAGGAACAGAGACCATCCCATTTCTGAGTTTCCCACTCTGTCACAGTTCCAGGCTCCTAAGGCTAAGAGCAGCACCAGGGTGGGGGGGTCCTCACGTAAGTCCACCTATCCTCCCCGCTCAGCTAGCCCTGGCTGCCTTCACCCACACAACTCCCAGGCTCTCTCTAGAGAAGTGTGTGGAGTCCAGGGAGGTGTTTATCTCCAGACTGTTGCCCAGGCTGCACTCTGTCACTCCAGGGACCACAAACCTGGGGCAGTCGACGCCTGCTCAGGAGCTTCAGGGCCCATGGGAATGTCAATCTCCAGGGCATGCGTGCACACACACATGCACACACACAGAAGAACGGCCACTGGTCCTGAGGAGGACAGACTGGTCCTCCTTCCCTGGTCTGGGGAGACTGATCTGACTTCCTGGCTCTACTGCGGTGTGACTCTCACTAACGCCAACCTCTCTGATCCTGTATTTGGCATCAACAACATATGATCCAAGGTGCACTGCTCACTCCAAGGTGCCTGACCCAGGTGTCTCAGCTGACCCAGGCTTGGAGGAGCTAGCAGCCCCCGAAGCATCACCGGCACGTCTAGGCTAACGCAACTCAGAAAGAAATTTCAGATCTCCCAGTGGCTACCTGGTGACGCTGCAAAATGCCCTGCAATTTGCAGGTAAGACTTCAGCTCCCACTCTAAGGGTAAGTCCTAATAGCCCTGACCCCATCAGCATGATCCCATGGCTGGCTCGGGGACAGGCAGGTGACCCAGGCTAAACCTGGATGACCATCTCGTAATCATGAGGGGAGCTAGCATCAGGCTGCAGGCCACTCAGAGGACGGCAGTGCCAAGAAAACCATGGAAGAGAGAAAGCCAGTTTCTACTCTACCTCCGGGCTTTTCCCTTTACCCCTGGCCACACCTCCCCTTTACTACCTCAACTAGTTGAGTGGGCCTATCCAGCACTCACAACTGAGAACATCCTGACTGCTGGGGTTTCCAAAGTGACACTCTGAATGCAGAGGAACAGAGAGAAAGCGAGGAAAGTAAGGACAGGGAAGGAAAGAGTGCACAAAGTAAAACATCTCAGTGTTTGCAACCAAAGAAAGGAACAGATGTCAAATGAATGACCCAACAACTCACTGAGGACCGCTCTGTGTAAACCAAGCTAAGTGGCTTACAGGCTCCTACACAGTCCCTCCCCACCCTGTGTGGCAGACACCATTATTATCCCCATTTTATAGGTAAGGAAACTGAGGAGTACGGACACTTAGAGAACAAATCGGCGCAGAGCCAGGATTTGAGAGTAGCCAAGCCCTGGCCCCAAACCACCAGGCCATACTGCCTTCCCTGTTCTTACAAGGCTCCTGACCCCTTCATTCAGTCACTTGGCACACACGCGCAGGACCCATCCGCTGCATGTGCCAGGCACTGGGATGGCTGCCAAGGAAAAAATGAGGACACCGGATCCTAGACCTCAGGGGCTCAGTCGAACACAGTTTAAATTCAAAGGCCTAGAGAGGCCAGGCAGGTAATGTCAATGGGTGAAGAGGAAAAAGTAGAGTCATAACAAGGACAACAATACCTAACAGCTATGGAGTGCTTACCACGTACGGCTCTGAGTGTCATTTTGTCCACGCATCAGTCCTGTGAGCTAGGCGGTCATATCACCTCCATCAAACAGATGAGACAATCGAGGCTCCAAGAGATTAAGTAATTTGCACTGCTCAGGCGGGTGAAGCCAGGATCTGAATGGAGACAGGATGACTGCAAAGCCCAAGCTTCCAGCTACATCACTGCACGGCTTGCTGGCTGTGAGACCTGCTGACTTGGCTGAGTGTGGAGTCCCCCAGGGAGAGGTGGGAACGCCAGGGAATTGCAGAGCCTGTGCTCGGTCCACAACCACCATGGTGCGGCAACTCCAGCCAACTGTGGGAACGTAGGCCCGGTGCTGACCGATCCAGCGATGTTTGAAGAGGATCCACAAATCTAGATCATCATATGCAATCCCCTAATTTTTAAAGGTTGGCACCCAACACAAATTGGGAATGCCATGGGGCCCAACATAACCTGTCTGGGCGTTGTACCCGGTCTGTGGCCTGATGATCCGCAACACGGCGTCTGGTAGGAGAGTGAGCTGGAAGGACAACCCACCCGTGTCTCCACTCTTGGGGCGCGGAGGCCAGCGGGAGAGCGCTCCACAGGAGGAGTCTTCAGCAAGACAACTCAGCTCAGCCCCGGGTGAGGAGCGGGCCCAGCTTCTGGCCCTGTGCACACCCCCAGGTCCCTGAGGTGCTGGCTCAGGGGCTCCAACTGTCCTCAGAGCTCCAGACCAGAGAGTCAGCAGCTCTGAGCTCTACACACACAGGGCCATTATCCCCTCTCTAATCCCTAACAAGCTTTTCGCTCCTGAGCCAGGCCCCGGGCTTCTGTGACATCATTTCTTGGGCACATCAAAGTCAACGACCAAAATAACCACTCAGGCCAGCCATGTTCCTCCGTGTTCCTCCGTGCCCGGCCATGCAGAACAAAGTAGAGAATGGCATTCTCTTATGCAGCCCGGTGGATAACGAGGATGTGGATAACAAGGACGTCGTTTTCCTGACCAGGAAATGCTCTGTCTCAGCTTTCAGGAGCATCTCTAATTGCCAGCCCAGAGGAGCTACTCCTCTCACCAAGAAGAGAGGTGGGCTTTGGAGAGAAACCATGTCTGAGAGCTCGCCCACACAAAAACATGATTTTATCCTGAAGAAATTAGAAATCTGCTGAATGCCTGAACCAACAGAGCCAAAGAAGGTGTGGATGAATAGAGAACTCTGAGGTCAAACCTCCCAAACTCGGTTGGTCATTGGGATGGAAGCAGAAATGGTACCCCACTGTACGGGTATTTGGCACCTGAATCCTGGACAAAGAGCAACTCCCCACCCGAGGCCTTCCAAAGAGTTCTCCGGGGCCTTGGTCTTCAGACAACTCTTTTCCCCCCGGCTCCCAGGCCTAGAACCCATTGGCCTGAGCACCTGCCAGGCAAACAGGAAGCCCACTCCCCAGGAAAGCCCCAGCCCTAGGGAAGCCCTATTAATCTTGAGCAAGGGACCAAGGAGTCATTGCCCCACTGGGAGCCTTCCCCACCCATGTTCCTGGCATAAACCACACCACCCCCAGCTCTAGCTACTCTAAGCAGCCTGGGCCTTAAATAGCCAGAGCAGAGGCCACTGGCCAGAACCCATGGTCATAGCGCAACTGTCCTTGAGTCTGAGAGGAATCCTAGGAATTTTCCCAGGAAAGGCTTAGGCTCATATCCCAGGATTCCACAGCAAGCCTCTAAGCCCAGGTCAAAGGTTACGGGAAATAACCAAAGGGATGTGTGCGGGAGGGAGCAGGGGAGAATGTTGCTCTCCTGGGCCAGAAGGGGAGGACAGAGGCAGGATTCACCTATCTGTAATCAAGGAGACACCTGTGAACGAAAGTGTCTCTCTCCTAATGCAGCATCAAAAAAACCAAAAACCTGGGGGGAAGACACGAGCAGGGATCAACCTGCACGGTGCCACCATGGTGGACATAATGACAGACACCAGCTAGGCCCCAGGAGGAGGCCACCATCACTCTCGAAAGGCCAGTCATCTCTTCCTCCCTCCTGGGAAGCGAAGGAGCTTTAGGAGCAAAACCACCCCCCAGGAGCCTAAGGCCACCCCACGCCCTGACCCCTATACTCCATTCTCTCGGCTTCCCTGTCTCACTAGCAGGCACTTTCCTCCCTTTTCGTGCACACAGAAAACCAGTGCTGCCGTTTAGCAACATAGGATAGTTTGTTTCACACTTCTCAAGTCAAAATAAGGTTTCTAAGAAGCCAAGCGCAGTTACTGGTCTCTAGGTCCAACCAGCTTGCCCCAAGCCTAGGACACAACAACTTCTTGGGCTTTATGGTGCTGTCCGAGAAGGAGTGGTCCTTTCCACCATGGAGGAGAAGAGAAAGACGCTCTGGGCCTCAGAAGGTACTGGAAACCCATGTGTTCATACTTTCCCACTTGGCTCAGGGACTCCGGCGACAGCCCCCACTGCTTTGCAGCAGGGAAAGCCGTAAGTAGTCTGGACATCACTGGAAGGAAACAGACTATGTTCCACAGTGAATGAGACCCTACCCTTGGAAGGGGGGATGTGGACATTGAAGGTGACCCTCCCCCTCTCCAATCCCAGGATGGATGCCGGCACTGGGAAGGGGTGGAGAAATGCAAGGGCACCAACATGGGCCAGTGCAGGCTCAGGGCTACAGTACTATAGTTTTGCTGCTTGCCCCATTCACCCCAGCCCCAGGCAAAGTATCAGATTCGCACCCTGGCCCCACAACCAGGTCCGGAAAGTGGACTTGGGTTCATGTCCAAAGGCTCTCCAGAACCCTGGGCCCCAGGTGGCCCAAGCCCCAGAGGCCTCCCACAGAGTAGCTGGCACCTGACATCTGAAATAGGTCCTTATTCCCTCCTCCCCTGACTCTATCCCTCCAACATGGCTTCCAGGATAGGCACCAAGAACTGCCTAGAAGCCAGGTGTTCTGAGGAGGAGAATATCTAATTTGCACCAAGACCACTCAAGGCAATTCAAGTATAGATACAACTGAGATGCCCCTTGCCTTGTCTTCCACCACCTCTTCCCAGCCACGGTTCCTCATATAAGTCCTGAGGATACAGAAGTCTCCAGCAAAGAACACTCCGACTCTAGCATGATGGCACGCTGCCCTTGGAAAATATCCCTTCCCCGGTCAGATGGGTCTCCCTCCTGCCTGCACAGCTCCAGGTCTGGCTGCCTGGGAAAGCTTGTGCCTTGGGGGCCATGCCTGGGGATCCCGAGACCCATGCAGGCAGCACAGGGGCAGAACGGTTGGAGAGGCTGCAGGGGACACACAGAGGCCGGCCAGCCCTCAGGCCCTTGGCTCTGTCATCCTGCAGCTGCTCTCTTCTGGTAGCTGGACCCAAGCCACAGAGATGTTCATGGTAGTTAATGCCCCAAATACATACCTCCACCTCGCCCATCTTAGAGCCCAAAACTCAGAGGGCTTCACCCTCTTTGTCATCGCAAGGGTTACTTGGGCGCTGGGGTTGGGTCTCAGGCCTAAACTGACCAATGACCAGCGTCTGCAGCCTCACCCAACTGCGGGCTGCCGGCATCAACAACCTGATGGGCACAAAACATCCAGAGCCCTCCCTGACATCCAAAGCTTTCGACAAAAGTCAGGCCTGGCGTCCCAGCCTCCATCCATTCTCCCATCTTGCTGGCACTGTAATTAGGCTCCTTCTTGCGACCTTCTCTCTTTCTACCCTGGTAAGTCCCTTATCATGTGTTCCCTTGGATCGCCAGTGGCTTCCCAGCAGCCTCCCTGCTCTGACCCGTTCCAAGCAAGGTCCCAGGCAGACCTTCCTAAAGTTGGCACCCATAGCAAGGCACGACGTCCGTGAGGGTGGTGGGCAGAGCTGCAGCCTTGCAGGTGGTGCTCACTTATGACCTCTCAACACCACCAGGCACTGAGAGCTTCACAGATGTCCCTTGCTGAGCTCTCTTCTCTCTCTCAGAATGGCTCAGCAGGAAGTGCCTGGCCATTTTTACAAGACAGGGAGGTACCACTCCATGACAGAGCCCTGTTGCACGAGAGAGTTGCCTCCCACACACCCCTTCCCACCAGTTTTTGCTTTAGGGAGGGAATAGGCACTCCCTGGATAGCTTGCTTCTTGGGGAAGTGTCAAGATTACAGGGTGACAACGGAAGTGACAGATGGTGCCGGGGATAAAGCGGAGATGGCGGGGGGGTGCGGGGAGGAGGTGACTGGCTGGGAGGAATGCCAGGCGTGAGGCTGCCATGCTGCACGCTTCTTCCCTCTCCCCCTCATAGCCGCACTTTCTCCTGGCTCTAAAGCCTCCCTCACCTTGGAGGGAGATTCTGACAGAAGAAACACAGGAGATGGCCCTGGAGGCAGGAAACTCCGGGACCCAGTAAGTGGGGGGGGGGGAGCGTCCTAGTAAGGAGGAGGAGCACAGCAAGAGTGCACAGGAGTCTGGCTGCTCAAGGAAGACAAGAGGCACCAGAAACTCCCCAGAAGGCTGTCCCAGACACACACATCCAGGAGACGTCAACCCTAAGCCCACGGCTGACCTAGGGTTGAGCAGAGGCTAGCCCGGATGTAAAGGCTACTAAGACTACTTATATCATGCTATGTGGGGACTAGGAACCCAGCACTGACCTCGAGGTACAACTCTGTATGCTCATCTAAGCTCCAGGATGGGACAGTTTCCAGGCCAGCCAGGGCTGAGCTGACCACCAAGCCAGCCTGGGGGGGGGTGGAGAGGGGTGCAGGGAGTGTAGACCTACAAAAGCTCCATCAAATCATACCCTCATGGCCAATGCTTAACACCAAAGTCAACCCTGAGGCTGGAGAGACACCTAACCATATCTCTAAACATGCCATAGACTGCAATTAACCTTCCACAAACTCTCTGAAGAATATTAGTATGGTTGGGCCCATTTTATAGCAAGATAGAAAAAGAAATGATTTTCCCAGGATGACAAGCCAGGAGAAGAGAACGGAGTCCAGACTCCTAAATTCAGGCCAAACCCCACCCAAGGTCTCCACCCAAATTCAACCCTATGCAAGTCCTCCCAGGAGGCTGACAGCTCAGAGCGTGGAGGGTGTGGAAGGCGTCCATCCAGCCAGCTT